AGTGCTTCAAAACCTGTGAAAAAACAACAGCAATCCAAAGCACATGCTACGTTTTTATCATTCACCAGCTCTTGAGTTCAATTTGGGCTCCTCTCACATTACTCACTTCTTGCTGGTAAATTCCCTGTTCTCCAAGTTTAATAATTGATTCTGCTTGAATCATCTCGCCCGTGTTTCACGATGGTTTCTGCACGCCTGATCCTACAGGCAAGGGAGCTGGGACCCGGCAGAGCTGCCCTGGGACACAGGGACACATGCAGCCATCAGCTGCAGGGCTGATGCCAGAAGTACAACGCTGCGCTATCCCTCCATGGGGTGGGTGGAAAAAATGAGTATTGGGAAGAGTAAGCACAGCAATGACTCATACAGGTTATAGGGCTGGACTGAACACAGCGCAGCAAGGTTTTTTTGTTCTGCAAAGGAGCTATTTGAGTTCAAAAGCAGCATTGGAAAAGGCCTTTTAGAACAAGATCCAAAAAGCCATGCCAGCTAAGAAAGGTTTCACACTTTCACACTTCTGTGTCCAAAGACACACGGTTCAAACCGAGGCAGCAATGCATTTCAAAAAGCAAATACCATTTCCTTCATTAACTTGAAAAGCCTGAAGAGATCAGGCCTTCTATTTTTAGCATTAAACTAGAAAATCTAAAGCACTTTCTGCATGTCCAGTCTAATGTTTGCTAATTCATCTCTGTATGAATCTCCATCCATTTGCCCCCAAATTGCGATTGTATCAAAGGAGGTTTCCTTACTTTACTGGCTCCCATGACTCCCGCTCAAAGCCCCTGTGAATTGACTGTGCAATTGAGGACTCCATCAGATCGACATATCTAACAACAAGTGGAGCAAACAGGTCTTGGAGGTGTTTGTGGAATTTTCCATTGCACAAATTATCTAGAATAGATAAATAAAAGTATAGTAAGACACTACTTTTACTCAAACCTCTGTAACAAACCACAGCGTGGCACTTTATTACACAACAAACTTGTCAGTGAACAGGAAAAAACTTCAAGAACATAACAGGAGCTGGCATCAGGCACCCATGTTCAGGACAAAGACAGCAGGA